TTAAAATTCTAGGAAAAAAAATGCAAACCTTTTCTATGGTATATGTGTATATATATTAATATGTATATCCAAAAAAAAAAAAATATAAAAATAAATAAAAAAGTAAGAAATTCTGAAATTTTACTAGGACAACTAGGACAACTAAGACGGGTATTCAAAAACTCTTTCACTCATTACGTTTTACGTCTATATGGCTCTCTCATTAATGGCCAGAAAGCAGTTGTAACAATAACTGGTAATAAAGTATTCTTTGATATCCGCGTTCCTGAAAATAAAAATAATGATATATTCGAGTCGGAAATAAAAAAAGATATTTGTTAGTGGAGAAGACGATGATGGTAATATTGTAAATATGACTAAACTCCGAATAGAGCACACAAGCATATTAATACTACACGGATATTGTAGTTATTGCACGGGAATTTGGGGAATTGCGACATTTTTCACCTTTCTTATTTAGAAAATGTTATTCAATGTGCACTGCTTTGCTTAAAAAAATTTATTAGGGATAACACGTGTAAACCCTTGAAAAACTTTATTTTAAACACAGAAATTCATTTTTTTTAAATCTCGGTTTAAATGAATTTCATATATTTATTGCATATCTTGCGGATTTAGGCATGGGTCCAATTTTTGGAATTTTAAAAATACGCTTACTTTGGTATCAATAAAACATCTAAAAAAAAAAAAATCAAGATCGAATATTTGTGCGACCTCATTGTCACGATCAAGTTTAGCTATTTTTTGATGTTCAGTATTTGAATGACTTCTATTAGTTCCACCTGCGACTAAAAATATAAATGTAAATTAATACATATAAATTTAATGTACATGTTTTTTCCAATCCTTAGTTCTCTCCATAAAGAGAAACCTACCCTTCCGTTCTACACCTACTACAGCACCTGCACGTCTAGCTGCATTAATATTAGAATCTCCTTTGGCAACCTTTGCTTGATCTGAACGTTTACGAATAACTGTAATGTTGTCCCAATCAGTTTCACTCATTATTAATATTTGTGAGATTAAAGGTAAAAAAAGTGTATTACAAATACTGAATAAGCTACAACCTTCATTAGGCGCAGTTATATCCAAATCATCGTATTCAGGGGGGCATATCGAGTTAGGGTCGAAAATTGATTTTATTATTATTATTATCACTATTACTACAGTCGAACCTTGTCACAGCGGATGAACGGGACATAAGAAAATTTTATTTAAAATCCATTGTGGAAAGATTGCTAGTATTGCTGCAACGGATTTTTATATGTTTTTATATTAATATTAATATTAATGAAACAAAATTTTAGAAATCCGTAATGATTATAATCCGACCGCTGTGACAAGATTTGACCGTATTACTATGCATACTTGGGGAGTTCTAGTTGAAAGATATATTATGCATGTCAGCTGATTAATACAATCTTTTGCCGTGTGAAAAATTATTATATGTTTGTTTATTCTCAATTAAATTAGTCTTTTT